AGAACATTCGGAAAATTTTAAAGTACTTGTCATTTCTTATTCTATCAGTCACACTAGGTGCTTTCTGCCCTTGCTATCTCACTGCTCTTCTGACATCCCAAGGTTTACAGCTGAATGTTTAGCCTTTTTGTTCAGAAAGTTTGTGGATAAAATTGCGTTGTTCCATACTTTGGAAGAAATGATTGAAAATCCTGAGGTTTGATTTAATTTTAAAGTTTTCAAAAATCATATTCAGTGCCTTGGAGCTGTGTTAGTAGAAATGTTGTCAGGTGTCGGTGAAAAAGTGCATACGACTTCTTTGGAGGTAATGCATTTTACATCTTGGAATTGTTAGATTCTTCCTTGTTTATTAGATTCTCTGTTTAGCTTAAGCTGCGATAGTAAACAATCTGTACAGTTGGATTGTGATAGCCACAAAAATGAAAATAACCCACCAGATGTTAGCAATGCCTCCATGAAGATGACAAGACCAGTGGACGACTGCTGTTCAGTTTCGAAAAGCGTTATTGCTGTCAGTTATTCACTGTCACAATTGGTAAAGCGGTCTCCATCTTCTGAACAAATAAACTACGTTATTCAACATTTGACTCGTCAATGCCAGCGCTTATCATCTTCTCCTAATCCTCAGCATTTTCGCGAATATCTCACACTTCTGACTAGTTTCATCCAGTCACTTGCGAAATCTGAATTTATGTCTTTATTTGAAGAAAATATTAGCAAGGTCAGTTTCCTTTTTACGCAGTTATTTATTCTCTGCTACCTTTCAAATATAGTACCAGGCACAAATAAGCAAAATGTTGATACATAAAAGTTTGATTTGTTATCTTAAAACAACTTAATAATAGCTTCTTCAAGTTAATCCGATAATTTATCTGTTCTTGAATTATTTGTACTATGCCTGATATTTGTTCGATACCGTATTTAAGACCAGTGTAGTGCTGCAGGTTTGTGACTAATCTGTTTACGTAAAAAGTTTGTTTTGTGTCTGGCTATCCCAGGATCCTGTGGTATCTTCATCCAAATTTACTGGCGTTGGTATTTCACTGTGAGCTATTACACAGACATCATTGATCGCTTGGATCATAGATTAATGTCACGACAGCTCTAATATCATGACGAGATCAGTAAACAAGCTTTTCGAATTGACAAATAGAAAACGAGTATGTAACACATCATTTGTCTTGAATACGGTCTCGTACAGACAGTATGTATCGAAGCTAAGACTACTAAGATACAAACCCACCTGTTGTCTGAACTGCATCAGTGTCCGATCGTTGGAGGCCAAACTAAATGGCGCACGTGGTTTCGGAAAACCTGACTCAGTATTCGGTGGTAATATTCATACTTTCGAGTATTTAATAACAAAATTTGAGTTGGAAAATGAAAGTAAAAGCATTCAAAATAAAAAGTATGAATATGAGGAATTTGTTTGGAACTAGGCGATTGCAAATGTCGTTTATGTAAACAGCCATGCGGAGCAAAAGCGTGTTCATATTAGTGCATGCTCTAGGATACTGTCTGGGTTCTTATATCGAAATAAATGATTTTCTTGGGTCACTTTCTCAAGCCTTGACCTACAGGTCTAATCCACAGAACTGTTGGCCATCGTCAGGATAAGCAAGTGCATGGTAGCTAGTAATCAAATATTGGTTACAACATCACCTAATTTGTCAGGACCCTATGGTCTATGTTCTCTGACTTTAGGATTCTTCCTCACTCCTTCGCACATTCCTCGTATCTGCCAACCCAGTTTGAGCGCCGGTTATTCTCTTCCCGTTCTCTCGCTATGTTGATTATATCTGCCCAGGTTAAAGTAGGATAAAATAATTGTTTCAGCTCATTATTAATAGCAGTTTGTGTCAAAAGTTTTCATTATATTTACAAACGTATTAACCCCTGTAGTCAAAATAAACCAACTTTTATTCCCTGACAGTAATGCTGGCAATTAACTCAGGATTTCTATGAACTTCCTATTTACTAAAATTGAACTCTGTAATTTGGTTCAAGTAACATGACATAGTCATTAGCTACCAAGTAGATGTTTATTTGTGGGTTATAATTTTCTTTTATCTAGATCCTTATAACTTTGAACAACTGTTATTCATCACCAGACGTGCTCAACTTATGTTGCGTTTTCCTACAGTCTGTATCTACAAGATACAATCCTTATGACTTCGTAAAATCAGTAAGTTCTGATTCTTTATTTAAACTTGAGGCAAAATTAGGTAATTCAGTGTAAAACTCAAACATTAGAAAGTCGGTTTGAACTTTTGAAAAACTTGGCAAATTGGCAATACTTTGATAGAGTAAGTTAACATTAAATTTTTTTGTTATTCGATGACCTTACTATTTCTAACAAGAAATATAAATTCCTATTTCACTCTCCATAATGCGAAAAACAATCACACTCTCAATACACAATTTCATTTTCCTGCGGTAATAGACGACGCCAGAGCGACAGCTAAAGTCCTCAGAGTCATGATAAACAACATAGAAAGTAGGCTACAATCGACAGCAAATGAACTAATATATAACAGCTTCAACACGACAAAAAATAAATAACAGTGAAATAACAAACTCAGTACCAATAACGATTTCATGATAAATAACAAGGAAATATCGAAAAAACACGTTTAATAATAAAACAAGAAAGCCAAATAAGAGAGATGACATCACTTAAGATATAGGCACTGAATTCTTTCTCTGTGATTGATTGATGCATAGACGGATAGACTGACTGCGATTACTTATGTTGTTTGGTTGATACTTGTTGAGTGCATATCAGAGTCAGCTGCATTCGGTTCTACGTCCACGTGTGCAGTGTTAACTGTGTGCGAAATAGACATGCGATATGATAGTGTTGGAATTATTTCCACATGATGATATTGCAATATTAGTGTTGTTGTCTAAAGTGTGAGTATGGTGTTGATATGTTGTTATTTGTGATTGTTGCGTGTGATGTTGTTTAGTGTAGAGGGATTGATTAGTGGTAGTTGTGTTTGTGAGAGTATGTGGTAGGTAGGTATTGAATGTGTTTGTAGTGGTATGGTTGTTGCCCCATGATCGAGTGACCACACTTAGTGTTGATCTTATGTTTCGTGGGGTAAATGGATGAGTCCTGATCGATCTACACATGTTTTGTATACTGGACATGTGTGTGAACCAATCTGGATACATGATTGTGTGTAATTGTGTAGTGGATGTTTGTGTATCTGTGTTGTTTGTGATTAGTTAATATGTGTGTATTTGTGGTAGGTGTTGTTTGTTTTGTTTGTTTGTTTGTGATTGTTTGACTGGTTGATTGATTTGTGTATAGATTGGTTATGTTGTTTGGTTGATGTTTGTTGAGTGCACATCAGAGTCAGCTGCATTCGGTTCTACGTCCACGTGTGCAGTGTTAACTGTGTGCGAAATAGACATGCGATATGATAGTGTTGGAATTATTTCCACATGATGATATTGCAATATTAGTGTTGTTGTCTAAAGTGTGAGTGGTGTTGATATGTTGTTATTTGTGATTGTTGCGTGTGATGTTGTTTAGTGTAGAGGGATTGATTAGTGGTAGTTGTGTTTGTGAGAGTATGTGGTAGGTAGGTATTGAATGTGTTTGTAGTGGTATGGTTGTTGCCCCATGATCGAGTGATCACACTTAGTGTTGATCTTATGTTTCGTGGGGGAAATGGATGAGTCCTGATCGATCTACACATGTTTTGTATACTGGACATGTGTGTGAACCAATCTGGATACATGATTGTGTGTAATTGTGTAGTGGATGTTTGTGTATCTGTGTTGTTTGTGATTAGTTAATATGTGTGTATTTGTGGTAGGTGTTGTTTGTTTGTTTGTTTGTTTGTGATTGTTTGACTGGTTGATTGATTTGTGTATAGATTGGTTATGTTGTTTGGTTGATGTTTGTTGAGTGCACATCAGAGTCAGCTGCATTCGGTTCTACGTCCACGTGTGCAGTGTTAACTGTGTGCGAAATAGACATGCGATATGATAGTGTTGGAATTATTTCCACATGATGATATTGCAATATTAGTGTTGTTGTCTAAAGTGTGAGTATGGTGTTGATATGTTGTTATTTGTGATTGTTGCGTGTGATGTTGTTTAGTGTAGAGGGATTGATTAGTGGTAGTTGTGTTTGTGAGAGTATGTGGTAGGTAGGTAGTGAATGTGTTTGTAGTGGTATGGTTGTTGCCCCATGATCGAGTGACCACACTTAGTGTTGATCTTATGTTTCGTGGGGTAAATGGATGAGTCCTGATCGATCTACACATGTTTTGTATACTGGACATGTGTGTGAACCAATCTGGATACATGATTGTGTGTAATTGTGTAGTGGATGTTTGTGTATCTGTGTTGTTTGTGATTAGTTAATATGTGTGTATTTGTGGTAGGTGTTGTTTGTTTGTTTGTTTGTTTGTGATTGTTTGACTGGTTGATTGATTTGTGTATAGATTGGTTATGTTGTTTGGTTGATGTTTGTTGAGTGCACATCAGAGTCAGCTGCATTCGGTTCTACGTCCACGTGTGCAGTGTTAACTGTGTGCGAAATAGACATGCGATATGATAGTGTTGGGATTATTTCCACATGATGATATTGCAATATTAGTGTTGTTGTCTAAAGTGTGAGTATGGTGTTGATATGTTGTTATTTGTGATTGTTGCGTGTGATGTTGTTTAGTGTAGAGGGATTGATTAGTGGTAGTTGTGTTTGTGAGAGTATGTGGTAGGTAGGTAGTGAATGTGTTTGTAGTGGTATGGTTGTTGCCCCATGATCGAGTGACCACACTTAGTGTTGATCTTATGTTTCGTGGGGTAAATGGATGAGTCCTGATCGATCTACACATGTTTTGTATACTGGACATGTGTGTGAACCAATCTGGATACATGATTGTGTGTAATTGTGTAGTGGATGTTTGTGTATCTGTGTTGTTTGTGATTAGTTAATATGTGTGTATTTGTGGTAGGTGTTGTTTGTTTGTTTGTTTGTTTGTGATTGTTTGACTGGTTGATTGATTTGTGTATAGATTGGTTATGTTGTTTGGTTGATGTTTGTTGAGTGCACATCAGAGTCAGCTGCATTCGGTTCTACGTCCACGTGTGCAGTGTTAACTGTGTGCGAAATAGACATGCGATATGATAGTGTTGGAATTATTTCCACATGATGATATTGCAATATTAGTGTTGTTGTCTAAAGTGTGAGTATGGTGTTGATATGTTGTTATTTGTGATTGTTGCGTGTGATGTTGTTTAGTGTAGAGGGATTGATTAGTGGTAGTTGTGTTTGTGAGAGTATGTGGTAGGTAGGTAGTGAATGTGTTTGTAGTGGTATGGTTGTTGCCCCATGATCGAGTGACCACACTTAGTGTTGATCTTATGTTTCGTGGGGGAAATGGATGAGTCCTGATCGATCTACACATGTTTTGTATACTGGACATGTGTGTGAACCAATCTGGATACATGATTGTGTGTAATTGTGTAGTGGATGTTTGTGTATCTGTGTTGTTTGTGATTAGTTAATATGTGTGTATTTGTGGTAGGTGTTGTTTGTTTGTTTGTTTGTTTGTGATTGTTTGACTGGTTGATTGATTTGTGTATAGATTGGTTATGTTGTTTGGTTGATGTTTGTTGAGTGCACATCAGAGTCAGCTGCATTCGGTTCTACGTCCACGTGTGCAGTGTTAACTGTGTGCGAAATAGACATGCGATATGATAGTGTTGGGATTATTTCCACATGATGATATTGCAACATTAGTGTTGTTGTCTAAAGTGTGAGTATGATGTTGATATGTTGTTATTTGTGATTGTTGCGTGTGATGTTGTTTAGTGTAGAGGGATTGATTAGTGGTAGTTGTGTTTGTGAGAGTATGTGGTAGGTAGGTATGAATGTGTTTGTAGTGGTATGGTTGTTGCCCCATGATCGAGTGACCACACTTAGTGTTGATCTTATGTTTCGTGGGGGAAATGGATGAGTCCTGATCGATCTACACATGTTTTGTATACTGGACATGTGTGTGAACCAATCTGGATACATGATTGTGTGTAATTGTGTAGTGGATGTTTGTGTATCTGTGTTGTTTGTGATTAGTTAATATGTGTGTATTTGTGGTAGGTGTTGTTTGTTTGTTTGTTTGTTTGTGATTGTTTGACTGGTTGATTGATTTGTGTATAGATTGGTTATGTTGTTTGGTTGATGTTTGTTGAGTGCACATCAGAGTCAGCTGCATTCGGTTCTACGTCCACGTGTGCAGTGTTAACTGTGTGCGAAATAGACATGCGATATGATAGTGTTGGAATTATTTCCACATGATGATATTGCAATATTAGTGTTGTTGTCTAAAGTGTGAGTATGATGTTGATATGTTGTTATTTGTGATTGTTGCGTGTGATGTTGTTTAGTGTAGAGGGATTGATTAGTGGTAGTTGTGTTTGTGAGAGTATGTGGTAGGTAGGTAGTGAATGTGTTTGTAGTGGTATGGTTGTTGCCCCATGATCGAGTGACCACACTTAGTGTTGATCTTATGTTTCGTGGGGAAATGGATGAGTCCTGATCGATCTACACATGTTTTGTATACTGGACATGTGTGTGAACCAATCTGGATACATGATTGTGTGTAATTGTGTAGTGGATGTTTGTGTATCTGTGTTGTTTGTGATTAGTTAATATGTGTGTATTTGTGGTAGGTGTTGTTTGTTTGTTTGTTTGTTTGTGATTGTTTGACTGGTTGATTGATTTGTGTATAGATTGGTTATGTTGTTTGGTTGATGTTTGTTGAGTGCACATCAGAGTCAGCTGCATTCGGTTCTACGTCCACGTGTGCAGTGTTAACTGTGTGCGAAATAGACATGCGATATGATAGTGTTGGAATTATTTCCACATGATGATATTGCAATATTAGTGTTGTTGTCTAAAGTGTGAGTATGATGTTGATATGTTGTTATTTGTGATTGTTGCGTGTGATGTTGTTTAGTGTAGAGGGATTGATTAGTGGTAGTTGTGTTTGTGAGAGTATGTGGTAGGTAGGTAGTGAATGTGTTTGTAGTGGTATGGTTGTTGCCCCATGATCGAGTGACCACACTTAGTGTTGATCTTATGTTTCGTGGGGGAAATGGATGAGTCCTGATCGATCTACACATGTTTTGTATACTGGACATGTGTGTGAACCAATCTGGATACATGATTGTGTGTAATTGTGTAGTGGATGTTTGTGTATCTGTGTTGTTTGTGATTAGTTAATATGTGTGTATTTGTGGTAGGTGTTGTTTGTTTGTTTGTTTGTTTGTGATTGTTTGACTGGTTGATTGATTTGTGTATAGATTGGTTATGTTGTTTGGTTGATGTTTGTTGAGTGCACATCAGAGTCAGCTGCATTCGGTTCTACGTCCACGTGTGCAGTGTTAACTGTGTGCGAAATAGACATGCGATATGATAATAAGCCCTGGGTTCGAATCTCGCGAGGCGGGATCGTAGATACACAATACTGAGGAGTTCCACAATAGACGAAACGGCCATCTAGTACTTTCAGGTTTCCATGCTGATCTAGCTTCAATTGGACTCCATGATCTCAACTATTAAAAACCATATATACTTTTTTAAGAACATATATAAAAACTAAAAAGTCAACTAGACTAGAAATGGAGGATAAGAGAAGGCAAGGATAATAACGAAAAATGATGTTTAAAACAATTGAAACCTCATCGCTTCTGATAAAACTGATATTACCAGGGGGGCGTGAATTTCGTATGGCTAAGTCTTCAATAAACCTTAGTATACGCCCTTTTACATTTGTATACAATACCACAAAAGCCGAGAGTTTAAGATCATCTTATGACCTATCAATTGTGTTGCTAATACAGGATAATGGATATTTATCCTCTACTCTGATTGGGGTATTTGATAAAAAAACCGAATTGATACAATACTTCTTAGCTTTACTCTGACAAAAAAAAACATAATTATCTCCATTTAACGTGTTTTCTCTCTCTTATCTTGGTCAATATAACCAAGTATGTGGGACATTCGGTGTGTATAGGAAAAATTGGATCATTACTATGGGTACATTTTAATAGACTAGACAAAATTGAATATGATATCATACTTTCATTCTATAAAAAAAAACGAATACATATACATATGAGAAATGCTGAGAAAACTCCCAAAATATAAATGAGGATACCTAGTGTACCAATATAAAATTTTAGAGCAAAAACTAAAATTATTTCGATTCTCATGACATGATCGATAAACCAGGCAAATGTTTGCATTAGATTTATGAGTCAAACATACACTAAGCATTAACTGATGGAACTAATTAGACAGTTATGATGAACGTGGAAACTGGAACAATGGTGTGTGTTAGCCTACGTTATCATTCTTATATCATCACGGTAAAATGAAATTTACAGGATTAAAAAAAAACGAGTCAAAATTATAATAGTATTAATGATAGTAAAGTAAGATTAAGTATTGGATAATATAGTGACAGAGTAGTATGAGAACAAGCTCAAAGTAATCACGACAACTTTACAGTTAGTTTCGAGCCAATCAGAAAAGAGCTTTCATAAATGTATAGCTTATTAAAAAGAGACAAGCAATAATATTACACAGTGTAAACAGATTTTGCGTTAATCGATGGATCGGTGGTCTCTAAATAGATTACCCTATCAGTAATTCGGAAAAATAACGATACATAGAATACATGGAATCCCATAAATAGATATAGATTGTCCGCACTTTCGAACCTTTAGAAGGAGCCAAACAGATTTTTAAGTTATCACACTGTTCCTGGTTAATGTTAGGGTTTTCCTCACGAACTGATATCAGTCATGATATAAAAAGTACTCTATGCCTATATGGATGAATAAGTTTCACTCATCCATCAGGTTAATGGTTCATTCCAGAATTAAGGTTTCAAGGTTATGATTTAGGGATAGTGTCGACTTATCTTGTTATATACGATCTAAATGATACACTTTACACCATTTTTACTCTATGGTTTCCAAAAATAATTTTTAGCTATCACTTTCAACAGTTTAAGCAGTATACAAAGGTATTCAGTCAGTCAGCTACAACGTAGGACCAGGCACATATATGCATCGGTCCAGGTTGCCATACCGCATCAGCACAAGATGAACACCGGATTCATAGCAGTGGTTATGTCAAAGGTGGTAATATATAAAAGAAAGATTGCATACAGAGACATAGTACAAGAAGAAAAAATTGGTTCGTAGAAAGATATGAAGCGATTTTAATCTCTTAGTTTAAGGGAAGACAGGGAGTGTATACACCGACTCCCTTGTGATCGATTCTGAGCCATGTCACCAAGAGTCTACAACCATTGGTTACGATAGTCACGCGGACCCCAACCAAGTAGTCTGCATCTACCAACATGGCTCAGACTAGAGGTTAGTGACTTCAAGCACTGATGCTACGTTTTGGTTTGGCCGCCCCTAACTTTCTTCCAACCATCTCCAATACTGGATAGCATTGCACGTCTTGGTAATCGGTATTCAGGCATACAAAGGTATTTCTACTACCTGTGATGCATGATATTTGAATTTCCTTCAAAAACCAGTATTGTTTTCTATTCTGATTTAGTTGTCCTTAAAGTATATTTTTACCGAATATAGTTCGAAAAAAGGGATGAACTACAGAAGAATAAAAAGTACCAACCTAAGTTGAGGCTCAGAAATTAGAATGTGTGAATGAATTTTTGAAACTATGACCGAGTCTGAGCCACGCTACCAGAACAAAATGAGTGAAACATATACTTTAACTTACAATTTGGTTGGGGTGAATGTAAAGTTTTGTAAATTTTCTTTGAAGGAATGAATGTACAATAACAAGGCACTTGGATTAATGTTTTCTTACATTCTTTTAATTGTAAGCTTTCGTTTGGCGCATAAACTACTGTTGCAAATCTTACTTAAATTATTGTTAGTTAATTACGGACCTATTGCTTCTTTTTCAGTTTTAGCGTAGTTATGTCCAGATTTTAATTTACGATTTCGATTGACGTGTAGGTCGGGAATTCACTGTATATTAATGCATAGGTTGAGGCACATCGAAAAAACTGCACAACAGAGATCTAATTTGTTTGCCATGCTCTCTTATTAGATTAAATACTGAGGTCAGAGAGGAAACTCCGTCCTGATAAATAAGCATTTAGATTAGCTTGCTCAAGACTCAACGTCAATCGTTGTTATCAGTCAAAACGTATGACTGTTCAAAGTACAGGACATTAAGACAGAGATTGAAATAAGTATACTTGAGGTAGAGAATTAGAGTCTGAATTCTGATTGGTAAATCTCATCGAGTAATATCAATTAAACCCTAACATAGCAATACTAAGTTCGAGTCTTATAGTGAACATCAACGACTGAATGTAAATATATCCAATTAACAAGTTCTACGTAAGAAGAAACACCAGTGTTAAAAGCCATTAGTACTGAAAACATTATTTACAGTTCAGTAGTCCTCGACAGAATGTATGAATGACTGAGGTGTTTCTTAATTGACCAGGTAATCTTTTACTTCGTAACTACTATTAGAAAGAAGTCACATGAATATACATATGACAAAACATTTAACTTACAGAATTAGCTAAAATGTCCATAGCAGGCAATAAAACACAAGTAGATAGTATTTCTATTAAAAAACTAGACAACGATCTGAAAATTAAAAGCATTACATTAATATTTCGAAATAACAACAGAGCTGTTAAATTTGTAGTACAAAAACATCAACATATTAACTACATTAATAGAACGCACCGTTACCGGTTGATTGATGGGTTATCTGGGTATTTTCGTGTTACATGTTCTCATTCCCAACTTATTACAAGATGCACTGATTACTGATGTAAGAATAAGTTATAAGAAAGTTGGAGGTGGTCAAACCATAGGATATGGGATAAGTCTACAATGTTTCTGTCACGTGAAATGAACCATGTCCTAGAATACAAACATTTTTCTCCATGGTCAACATGCAATAATTGTTATCGATGGTTAGAGACTTTAGATGATATACTTTAACATTAAGCAGCAATGACGGAAATACATTCACTCCTTTAATATCACTTCATTAATTTCTTCTGAATTATTTGCTACACATACCTAAGTCATTTCGAATTCGACTCTTATTAATCTCACCGTGCTGTGTGAATATTAAATGAATAACCATGACTAGTTCCTACTTTATGACTAATATCTAAAAAGTTTTGATATGGTTGAAGGTGGGAAGAGTTCGTTCTGTCTCTTGAAATAGTCGCGCATTATGACCTGTTTAAGGAAATTTCTGTTCGTTGCCCTCATGTGGTGAGTTTTACAAAAGTGAGGATGGAGAGCGGATGTGCGGCACTTAAACCAGGTTGGCATACACAAGGGCTGATGCCATATGAATTGTCCCAAGGATTTCTACATCGTGAATCATTTATCGACATTGGAGCTGAGTGAAAAAAAGTGGATAGGTGACCAGTTTATCAAGTGGTGGCGCATTATGAATGACAGTTATGTATGGCTGACATTCTTCGGTTCATAAAAACTCCCTGGTTGGCGTCCTAGAGATTGTATACCTCAGTGGTTGGAGACTTCATTAGATACGCCTTGGAGTGGCAGTGTTGCTGTAGTTTTCCACTACTATCATTATGCAAGTGAGAAAACTCCCATAACCGAATGTAGATTTTATCTGTATTTTAAACTGAACCGTATCTCATAACATACAATATAATTGGTCATTTACCAACTGATTGTACTACCCTACTCTTCTTGTTCTTTTCACAATGTCATCACTTTTGATTGTGCGGATTTTTTGTGCCCTATCGTACTATAATTTGTCCATAAAATAAACACTTGAAATCCTATTACCACTGATACTGTTGCTACCTCTACTATTCTGGGATTTGACTTGGCAACTTTATCTTTCTGTGCTAATGGGGTATGGGAACTTGAAACGATGTACATTTGTACAGGTTCTACATTATGACCTACTGACTGAATGTAAATTAGCTCTTCATGTCAGCTAGTCACATGCATTCGAGAAATTGGTATAAATGTGCATCAGTTCTAACTCCCTTCATCTCATGCTAACATAAAAAGAAAGAAGAAAGTTAACTCAAGCTGTTCTTGAACGATTACAAATTTATTTTTGTCAGTGATTTACATGAACATAAATGAAGTATGTGGATATTTTAAGCGAACTCTTAGAAAAAATTGGTTAATAATCACCATTTACTTTGTAACGAAAGCTTTACGGGGAATGGCCAGTGTTAAATACCTCTACTAGGTTCATTTTTACTTAACGTTAACTTATCATCGAGGAAGAGAAATAAACAACTATCTCAATTCTTTCATTAGGATTTTGCGTGAAATTTAAATTATCAAGAAAAATTTTCTAAATTAATAGTATGCAAATGAATGGACAATATACATCCTGTTACTTACGGATTACAACCCAGTTCCATAAACTTCTGGAAAAATAACGCACTAGTTGAAGCACTCCGTGAAACAACAGGTGATTTACGACTACGCTCTGAACTACCATACGCATGTCCGGGAGAGTTGTGCATAACACGATTACGTCGAAAGCGATGACCGTGATCAACAGAAGGCTCTTTTGATTTATGAATTTCTGATGATGAAAGACTGGGCGGCATGCCGAGAACTGGTAATAACCGGCTGACCACTGCACGTAAATACATTACTTCAGCTTGTCTTGAATACAGAGCTGCATGTAATCGGTCTCCAAAAGCACACAAAACAGCTTCTTCGGAACAAGATTTCAACGGGCTTAAAAAGTATGAACATTAATAAACATCTAAAGGTCCGATACCTTTTACGGGAATGATTCTCCTTCAACATGGTCCGAGTTTCCTCGTGTGTGTCACCAACACCGGTAGTATATAACTTATCTATGGATGAAATAAATAAAGGATGAACAAAAATTTAACGATACGCGCCGTCATAACGTGGAGATATCGAATATAATGGATCATTTCGCAGCAGAACATATATACACTTTTTGCAATATACTAGAACAAATCTAATTTAACGAGTAGTGCAGTGGTCAATTGGGAGCTGAACTATTCGATTTTTAAGTTTATAATGCTTCTGACTTACTACTTAGACACAGGTAGGTGACCTCACAGGTCATAGTTTCATGAATCAATATTTGATTACTATTTCCTAGATGCATGAAAGCCTGAATACAAATTTCGGCAAGATCCGTCGTATTTTAGTCTTCGAGATCGATTGCCCGAGTATATCTCTACCATGACTTCCCCACCAAACTACAACACCAAAAACATTGGCCTATATAATCTACAAAGCCGAAAAACAATAAAGACAACTTTGGATGCATAATTAATGTGCATCAGAAATAGATTCATTGTATTATCTAACGGTACTATAAATGATCGTTGAGGCAGATGATAAATATTTTTATTAAACCATTTGCCTAAATAGCCAATAAAATTTCTACTGTTTGGAAAATATTGCTTGTTGTTTAAAAAGGACTGATGCATTTATCTGAATAATAGAAGTGACAATAATCATTGTTCCTATTACGTTATATCCTAGGTTTTCATTATGTAGATTTCTCATCGTTTACAATGGCGGAAATTCAAAGATCATTAGTATTCGGTATTCCATGGGAAAAAATTCACTTGTGTGGAAATTTCTTGGTTTAAATGACAGTAACCTAAATTGAGTATATTAAGTATATTACGACCTACTCATGCTTGAAGTAACAAGTCTGACATAAATATAAAGCGATTTCATTTTATCATTTCATACCGATTATTTAGTTGGTCTAGTTAATCCATAAGTACGACTTTATAGATAGGCACCAACACTTACTCACAATTGATTGATCACTGGGTGGTGATCAATCTCATGCTTGTCTAGTCCTTATTAGTGCAGATCGAATGCTATCGATCATGTTGCAGTGTGGCCACCAGTCTAGGTGACTCGACACTGCGAGCACTATGTATTGAGATTAGATGGTGGTTGGAGGTAGTCAACAGGAAACCCTGGACCCGGGTTTCGTGCTACTTGGCACTCGTCAGCAAGGTGTACCTGTAATCTTGAGGGAACTGGTGCTCCCTGGCGGATTCGATCTCGTGTCACCCAGCTTCACAGTCAGAGACGTTACCACTGAGCTATCCGAGCCGTGACTAACCTCCTGTAGGACTGAGATGTAATCACATTGCAACATGATCGATAGCATTCGATCTGCACTAATAAGGACTAGACAAGCATGAGATTGATCACCACCCAGTGATCAATCAATTGTGATTACATCTCAGTCCTACAGGAGGTTAGTCACGGCTCGGATAGCTCAGTGGTAACGTCTCTGACTGTGAAGCTGGGTGACACGAGATCGAATCCGCCAGGGAGCACCAGTTCCCTCAAGATTACAGGTACACCTTGCTGACGAGTGCCAAGTAGCACGAAACCCGGGTCCAGGGTTTCCTGTTGACTACCTCCAACCACCATCTAACCAACACTTACTCTCAAGAAAGGAAAATGGCAGCATAATGGTCACGAGTTAAACAAAGTAAAGTAATTAATGGAAGAGGACCTAATCGGCAAGAAATATTTAATTCAAATGAAAAGCCTCATACTTAATTACTGGATCTACTGACAAATAATTTTGTGAATGAGACTGAAAACTTGACGGCAAAGAAGTATTTGAAATGTTAATTAAAACCTTAGGTTTAGTTCTAATCAATAGTCTTAGGATACGGAATATGTCTCTAATAACCCCATGAAATTGAGTGGCTAACAAAACCAGCTTGCTATTTAATTGAATGACGCTAGTAACTTGACGATTGCCAACAATGTCAGAAAATTAAAGCACACTCGAAATGATGTAAACAAAATGCCCTTACATTGTGGAAAAGTTTTGGCAAATCAGATTCCATCAAAACACTTATCAGTATTCAATCACCTTTTACTTACTTTGAATACAACAAAAGTGTTAAATATAAATAAACGTTGTACCGGAAAAGTCATCATTCTTTATTGTAAACACATTATGGTAGATATCTATGCGGCAATATATTTTTGTCTAAGTAAATGCATTTTATTAAGATATGGAGGTTAAATTTTTACTGGTCAATCTATAAAGCGCTTTAAACTTAGTTTACGAAAATCTATACTGGATGTAAACAGACAATATTGGACTAGATAGTCAAATAAGCTTGACTTCAAGAAAAGTCTGAAATAAGCTAGACACACAAGATGTTCGTGTAAGTGTGCACACTCAATATTTGTATCATTTTGAAGTGCAAGCACAAGTTAAACACTAAAACTGAACGAGTATGAAAGGAACATAGCTTACCAGAACAAGTAAGTGATAAAATATGTACAATATGGTCGAAGAAATGTGGGATAAACCGGTTAACAATGAACTCCGAAAGATCGATCTGTAGAGTAAAAAAAATTTTACTAAAGAAACATACATCTTTAACTCTTTGGACAATTACAGCACAAGCATATTGTAAAAACATTTTCAACTGCACCATAAAATCTGGGTTTGAAGTGAACGGCCTGAAGATATATAGTATCGGACGATCATACATACCTGTACCAAAATTCGATGTACTCTTTAATTAGTAAGTCAAATATCTAAACAATCATATGATTTAATTGAGATTACCGATTGCAGAGCTTCGTTAGATCTACTTCCAATTGTAACCTTTGTGTGATCGAAGTAAGCATCTGTTGGCCTATGGGGAAAAATTAAAGAAATCACAAGTAACCCACTCATGCACACGCTTTTTCGGCCTTAAATACTCTTTGCTGAAGATGAGCATTTTTACAGTAGGCTGAGTTCTTTCAATCACCATACACTTGCTACAGATGTGAATTAAATCGTCTTACCTCAAAATCACGCAGAAGATGTAGCCCATGAGCGTGAATGACAATGTTATCCAGATAAACACTATCATAACTTAGGATACTCCCATGACACTGTAGAATATATCTAAATCAAACAAGGTATTCCACCGTAATTTTAGGTCTATTCACCTTCATGTGTATATGTAAGTGAGAGATAGACCTTTAAAGTACCTGGGTACTGAATCTTTTGGTTCTCTGATACTCCAGTTAATCCTGAAGAATACGTGAAGCACAACGAAAAGTGTTGTGACAGTTATGAAGAATCCAAAGTACTATTAATATTGATAACACTTGTAGCCATTGTACGAAACTATATTTTTATAGTCAACATTGAATGGAAAGTATGTTCTGTTGTTGCGTCAGACTGTTAGCTTAACGCATGTAGCGATGGACAGTTATACACATTACTAAGCAACGCAATAATTCCAATTTTCCGCAAGATACAACAACTCATAACACAGAACTGAAAATTACCATGTGCTGACTGGTGACTAGCTTAGAGAGGGAATTCTCAAAGTTCTGGTGGGAAACCGTAGCTGGTCGAGCTCAACCGCGCTGAGTCTGAGGCAGTTACTCACCTAAGACAAGTTGCCATACCGCATTAGCACAGCAAGATGAACTCAATGGTCTAATATATAAAAGAAAGGTTTTATGTAGGAATATAGTCCAAAAAGAAAGAATTTGTTGGTAGAAAGAAAGACATGAAGCAAGTTAAATCCCATGGACTAAGGGAAGCTAACATGGCTCAAACTAGAAGTTAGCAACTTCAGGTACTGATGCCACCGTTGGACACCAGCTCAGTGATCTAGAGTTTAAGCTTTCTCCTAAGACCGGAAGTCCTGGATCCGAATACCACGTGCTAGATTGTGAATACACACTGGTGAGGAGTCCCATACTAGGACGAAACGGCCGTCCGGTTCATCCAAATTTCAATGGTGGTCTTACAATGGTCGGTCATGAGTTCAATGAAATTATAAATCTCCACAATCACAAACTGTAAATAAATATGTTGGTGAGTTGGCAATGCAAACAATATGAAGATGTCGAAGTGTAAGAATTGAATGGGAAGAAGAGTTTACAATGAGGAAAATAGAGAGAAGTTACCAATATGTGATTATGATGACAGTCATAAATAATGGGACATGTATCAGGTACACCGGCTTCAAGCTTGCAGTGGCACCTCTTAGGTGAGTGGGTGTTTGTGAAGTCTCCCCTTGAAGTTATGTACTGAGGAGGCAGAACATTAGAAGTGGGAGGAACTCTTAATGTGAAAAATTGAGAGAGTACCTGGTTGTTCACTTTGGTGTGCAGTTTATCGGGGTTATTTCAGGGGGCGTAGTGGTGATGTTCTGACAGGATCCACATGCTGGGGTAAATTGAATTACTCAGTATGTCGCATTCCATTTACAGGTTACCACTAATTTTACTATAGCTCAACGACGATATCTCGAGTGCTGGAATCTTTTTGTTTGGCCCTATCACTATTTGGATGTCCGTTTCTATGTTTGGTCTTAGAGATTCGTGCCTATGTATTTTGAGCCGGTATCCAAACTCTTTGTGGTTACACTATTTTTGGGTCATGATTTAAGGTTACCGTCGGGGAAATGTTTCCATAAACAGAGTGGATTCTTTGTGTTAATTGAAGCAGAATGTTCGACAGGTCAAGTTTCAACCTATTGTGTACTGCCCATTCCTCTGGTGTTGTGAGGTCATTTTTAAACTCGAGTGAACACATGTCGCTATTTATGTCGTTTGTATGCACCAGAGCCACCAAGCGCATTTTATCGTTAAAGTCATCAACAAAGATCAAAGGGATGCACTGATTTAAAATAGTCCCCTATGAAACGCCTGCTGCTGTGACTGTAATTCGCATACCTCCTTATGTACTCTAATTCTTTGGGTGGTTTCAGAGCCAAAGTAGATGGTCAATGAAACCTATGTCCACTAACTTAGCTTTGAGGAGTTCGTGTTTCATTTTATAGAGGGCTTCTGAAAAGCCAAGAAATATTGCATGGACTGGTAACGTTTGGTCTCAGCAGGTTGTCCAGCTGTTCCACTCTGTGGGAAAATTGGCCCCACAAGACCTGTCTTTCCTAAATCTGTGCTAAAGTTCATGGAGGATGTTGTTTTTGTCCATACGTTCCCCTGTTTGTTCATTTACTAACCCTCTCATTACGTCAACAGTACTGGCAGTAATGCGACTAATCTGCAATGTCTTCTTTTAAAGACTGGGGAGTGAGAAACCTGAGTTCATTCTCTTGAAAGTTCCTGCGACCCTACTAAGTGCATGAACAGATCACGTACAGTGTACCGGTGGTTATTATTATTGAACAGATTTTGTCACATTCTGGTGACTTTACATGGCGTGGAGATACTAGGTTTTTGAAACGAACAAAAGAATCAACTTTTGTTCAACTTTACTTCTGTTTTAATTCTATGTGGTGATTACTCAATGTAGTATTTGCTTTTTTCTTGTATGATATTTTATTCTGTATAACATACGATATTCTTATATTAAATTAACATGAACTATGCCCAGCATGACATGCAGCATGTGATTTATTACAACTGTAAGTATTCTTCATAAATGGAATTCCATCCTAATTATTAATAAAAATCGGTACACGAATCAGTATATAAATGAGTGTATTTTCGACTAGGGTTATCGTCGTCGTGTTTTGGGGTTACTAGCAGAGCTTATGAGCCAAATCTGGAATTCAGTCGATAAGACATCAATCGGTTGCTAATTTTGCTACACTTACATAGATTATTTTCTTTTCACTGTGATTACAAGTTGCTAAGACTTCGATTCTACTCCACGTCACGGCTCTCCTACACATAAATACATATCGATCTTATTTGTTTGATACATAGAATTTGTGTCCTGTTCTTCGTCTCATGATTTTGATTAAGTATCGAATATCTATTGAGACGTCTATAACTAAGGTTCGCTAAAAAGTTGTTTATAATATTTCTCCCTGTAAATTAGGCTTTTTCCATCTGACAAAGGGATAAGAATTAAAATGAATTATTATTCTGCAAAACCTGTTGCTGCTAATAATAAATACATCATTTCAATGTGTAATAAATTATATCTCTAATATATCATGATTTAATGAAGGTCACTTCTCCGAGGAAAACAAATGACTTCAATTAACACAAGTTCAAGTAGTACAAAGGAAATAATGCAGAATATTCTTAGTACAGTCAAAATCATAACAGATATTAGTATGTAATTATCATGTTATTTTAGCTAAAGTGATTCTGTATCACATATCGCTACATTGACCTTTTAGTCAGAAGGCAGGTATGAAAAGTGTAAAATGTCTGTATACGTAATATGATGTATTAGGATCGAAATCGGATGCGTGTGTGTGCAGATTGTGTGGAAAATGAATAAGGTCAAATGTAGTTTTCTGTAAAACATTCCAGATTAGATGAATATCCAGACGTTATTTCTTATTGAAGACAAGGAGGATTTAGGATTACGTGAAAATCTTCGATTAAGCACAGCCTTTAAATACTGGTAAAATCCTCCCGAATTATTATGATGTTTTTGATATTAATTTAATTGATCACCAACGTAGATGATCTATGTCGAAAATGATTGCAGGCCTACTCGAGTTAGACGTGAATGTTGTGACAAACTAGCTAACATCGAAGTCACACCTCATGGTCAGCACCTTACGTGGACTACCCCATTAACATACCAAGGTACCATAGATGATTTGAAGACTGTACAACACAGGGGACGTCGTTGCAGAAATATATTAGTTAAAGTAGATACAAGCGAAAGTGAGACCACTGCCGCATGGGCCAGTCCATGGTACACGATTAACTGATGCGCGTTGGTTGTCACTGACCTTGACGAGGATCGGTGATTTGCTCGATATCCAGTGACCCAACTGCCGGATGATTTGGCTATGGCTTAGTGACATTTCGCTAGACCTATATAATGATTGCTAAAAACAGTATTGCTATTGCCGATTTTCCAGTTTTATATAGATATTGGTTCTTTTTCGTAACCAACCTGTTTCTTTGCACCAGTTGAGATCTCATGAGAAGACTTTCAGATGTAGAACGCACGGCAATCGATACAACGTAATCTGTACCCAGTTCTGTTTGAAAATGAATTGGGTCATATCTTTTATTCGAACTAAAGCGTTTCTTAATTTTGGCTGTCCTTTGGAAGGATTTGATTTTGTAAATTATCAAGATCCGTTGCAATTTTCTTGTCGTACGTCAGCGGTAAAGCAAATCTATTGTAGCAATCAAAGACCATTCATTTGGATCGTTATTTACAGGAGGACAGAATTATTCAATAATAGGATGTGTATTACGTTATTGTTTTCTTTTTAGCTTCTTTTCTGTAGTTATAATCTTGGTTGCTCTTGTAAAAAAATCCAGGACTAGGAAAACGTTTGGAACGAATGAACGAAAATGTAGAGTCAAAACTGACATGCCGATTTGAATGTATCAGTTTAAGGTATATAGTTAGGTTTAAACTCCCATTAGAATCCCCTTCACCTAAATGGTTTAAGAGTGATAGTTTAAAATGCTCATTTCGCTTTTCAAAGATGAATTTAATGTTTTCTGAGAACGTGTTTATTTGTTTCGGGAAATTCCTAAGAACTGTCTTCAACAATGACAAATGTGTCATCCACATGTCTGAACTGGATGTATAATCTGGTGGTAATGGCAGAATTAATAGACCCAAATTGGTATTTAAATAAACTAGCGAAAATCTGATATAGTGAAGACCTATGATCACCTTATTTGTTTGCTTTTATGAAGTCTCTTTGAAGGTGAATAGTGTTGAATTCAAGCATAGCATGAGAAATTTCGTGAATAATCAGACGTTTAATGGACATCTGCTAGACAGAGTATTATTATTCTCCAGTAAACCATCAATAAAGCCTACATATCTATCGATTTGAATGACAGTGTATAAAGATATAATACCCCGGCTTACAGTTTTTCGTTTTTTTGATAGGTGATCCTGAAATCTCTGGTTAGAATTCATATGATTACGCTACGACGTTAATTAAGTTTTGTTGAAGTGGCCTCAGTATGCTGCTTAGATATGTAGATAAAGCATACTTTGAAGTGTTTTAACTCAGGTGCCGAGCGTCCATTCGTAAATTATGAGTAATCAAAGTGAATACATTATTCTCTTAGTGATTATACCAAGTCTCACAGAAATCCTTCAATTCCAAGGTTTACAGGGAGGAAGTTTTAAAAACACCGAACAAAAATAACATAAAATCAAAAAATGTTCAGGGTCGAAATCTCAAACAAATAGGTGCATAGTTTGAATGAAATAAACATGACAGTCTGTCAAACACTTTGCGTTCCTCTTGTAATGCTCACGACAACAATAAATTTCTTTCCACAGACGAATAATTGGCAGAACGTATCCAGGAACATCTATCGAAAACAAACATAAGTCAAAGGTTGCCACACTACGACTGAAGACACTGAACTAAGTGATCCCTCTGACTTACATAAGTACACTCAGGGACCCGTGTAACTACCTACCATCCGCTGTTTCAAAAAGGCACTTTTCTAAAGTCTCCAGCTTTACTTGCCTCTTTAGTCCATCTTTACTAGGTATCAATCTGCACTAGACCAAATGCCACCTA